CAGAATATGGTATTGGCAAACGGCGACTTGTGGCAATCGCATCGTTCATGCCATCCAACAAATCCAACTTGAATGTTATCGGTGCGTTCGTCATAAGCACACATTGCACAACACTGCCAATAGCAGATGTTCCAGGATTCGATGTGGCAAGATTAGATACTGAAAGGTAAACAGTCACAGGGATATGAAATCACTCATGCGCTGAAGCCGATATCATAATGAAATAAGGGTATGATTAGAAGTGATCAGAACGAATGCTAAAACTCACACAGCTGCTGCGTGGCCATCAGCCAGCTGGCACTCCCAACATGCTTTCAAAGTCCTGCAAGCACTCTTAGCCGGTCCTGAATTCAACAATGCCATTACAAATGCACGGTGGTTGTCCCGTGCATGGTCCAAAACCTTCAGTTTACATGGTAAGTTCAAGAACCAAGTCTTGCCCCATCTGGCGATTTTTTTCGGTGACTGCAGTGACACAGGTGAAAAGTGTTAGGGTGCAAGAGTCGACATTAGAGTACTGAGGGCAGCAACACTGTACGAGTTGGGCGCAAGGGGGGGGGGGGCGGGGAGGTAGCCTGGAGCCCCCCCCCCCGACCAGAGCTTCGGACCCCCCAACCTTGAGAAAAAAGTCCACATGTCGTCGTCTGCCTCGCACCGACAGGAAGGGCTGGCACCGCGGGGAACCAAACTCCATACCTCCGATTTCCCAGACGCGCAGCCTAGCCGCCACACCACCGGTATCCCTAGACGTTTGTGCATAGTTGGTTCCTACGACACTGGCCCCGATTCCATCCAAGCGGTCTTGTTAATCTTCCAACAGCCAAAACAAACATGTAGTCAGGAACAATGACTTGTAAACTTCGACGTGCAAGTTGTTCAATGGGTGACGTCATTCCAAGACATGCCTCCTCTGTCGGGAGTTCCCATACCCGCGTCAGTTTTGCCTCTCACGTACCGTGGACACCACTCATGCCTTGCTGGCGGCGCGAGCCGGCTTGCGCCTTTGTATGTGTGTTTTCTGATATAACCTGCACTCCGTTCTTCAGTCTGCGACGTCTGTTTACGCAGCGTTCAAGTGCTGCACGTGCAGAACGCACAGACCGCAACCCTCGATTTGCAGAGGAGTCGACACAGGGGTATCACCCGCCACAGTCCGAACTGCCCGCCACAGCCCGTATCAGCCCGCGTCCTGGAGCACTGGAACTGCTAGTGTCTTAGGGGCGCTGGCGAACTGCTGGTGGACGGATGTGCGCGGCCGCGGCTCGTCCTTCTCTGGGAAACGCATGCGCCGTGGGGTCGCAACGCGACTCAAGACGATGATATTTAAGTGTACGCCACCCCAACAAAGCCCGGGCCAGGAATGTCGCCTTGTGAGATAAGCTGAGAGAAAGAGAGAGAGAGAGAGAGGGGGGGGGGGGGGGGGGGTGAAGTGGTACTGGAAAGTGGCTGAACCTCCTTTCAAAACACACAGGGTTAGCTTCGTCTTTGGCATACTTTCCCCGCATAATTGGGGCGGAGACAGGAGCCCCCAACTGAACATGATACAACGCCCCTGGCTCTGACTGCCGGCTACTGAAACGGGTTGAGATAGAATTACTAAGCCAGGCCGTTTCTTATCTTACTACGTCTGTACCGATGCCTGTTTGGCTTTATCAGTATATTAAAGCGGCATTGACCTTTGCCGCCGGACCCTGCTGGCACTTAGTTTACAGACGAGAACGCACAATTTACAGACCAGACCAGTTCTACAGTTCACACTTTGCGTAAGGTCACAGACTGCAATGATTCTGTAGCCAGTTAGCTGTTGCAGTCTAGAGGTGCCACATTTGAGCACGCAGGTCCCATCCGTAGCAGATTCTGGGTTCGTTCGGTGTTCCAGAAAAAAACAAGTAGCACTTTCTAGCTCTTTTGACCCACGCTTAGCGGGCCTGCGGGCTTAAATGCGGCATCTCTTATCTGCAACAGCTGACTAACGCAGAATCTGCGGCGAGTCTGCAGTTAGTACGCAAGGCATGAACGTGTCCTTAGCCGTTTCAGACGGGTATAGCCTATCCTGCTACGCGGAATGAATGTGCGAGAATATGACGCCAGCATCGGTTATCGGGGGAATATTTATCTCACTGATTACGTTGGATTATGTGGCATAATAAAATGAGTGCCGCACACCTTGTTTCCCCAGTATGAGCTGAAGAGCGATGCAGTTATGCACGGCTTTGATTCCGGTTGCCAGTCCGGACCGAGAAAAGTGACGATATGGTGCGAGGATGTCACCACAAATACTCCGGGCCGTGCCGGGTACTCATCCGCAGCATCGAGCGAGACTCCCCAAAACAAACTTTGGCTACGATTTCTTCCTTCTGACGATTGATTTATTACACAAAAGTGGAAAACTAAATGTTCAAGGACAGGGAAGTGATGGTGGAATGCCTCTCGTGCCTGTTCTATATGCCGACCAATACCGAAAACTTTGAGATGTCCGACTCCAGACCGCACAAATGCATTAGCCATATTTGTGCCAACGCACATGGCACCGATGCCGTTGATATGCATTTAGAGCGTTACCAGAGCGGCCGTAACCGCACCTTCCTGATCTTGGAGGCGTCGATGGAGAATACAGCCGCCACGGCCATTCAAAGAAGCCGGACATGACGACGTCACCGGACCGGAAGTCGGCGTGGTTGCTGCTCAGCACTTTGCCCACTCCGCCGAGACCGGGCACTGGCTCATCCAATCGCCACGGCAGCAAGTAATCCGCACCGCTCGCCTCGTTCATCTGGCATCTCTGCGACACAACGTTGTCATGGTTACGCGTATCCACCGTTGTGGTAGGAAGCAACGTACCGTGGACTTGCACATAGCAGACGACCAAAACAATACAATGTTCGCGTGAATCTTACGCTGATATGATGCAGAGCAGATCTGTACGCAATGCGAGGGCTTCAGAGTCACCATCATGCATGGGTCGGACGCGCTCCCACCCCAGGACAGGATCCGCGAGAGGTCAGAGGGCGTCCCGCTTCCGCGCCGAATATGGACGGTTCACACGCCTCAAGCCACGGGTACGGCCGGGACAGAGCTGACCAGACAGCCCCCGCGGGGCGGGGCGGGGGCGGGGCGGGGCGGGGCGGGGTGTAGGACAGGACAGGACAGGACAAGACAGAGCTGACCAGGCAGCCCCGGCGGGGCGGGATGGGGGCGGGGGGGGTAGGACAGGACAGGACAGACAGGACAGGACAGGACAGGACAGGACAGGACCGGACAGGACAGGACAGGGCAGGACAGGACAGGACAGGACAGGACAGGGCAGGACAGGGCAGGGAGGGCAGGAGGGCAGGGCAGGGCAGGGCAGGGCCAGGGCAGGGCAGGGCAGGACGGAGGCGAGGACAGGGCAGGACAGCAAAGGGCAGATCACATCAGATCAGGCCAGGGCAGAGCCGGGCAGGACAGGGCAGGACAGGGCAGGGCAGGGCAGGGCAGGACAGGGTGGGACAGGGCAGGACAGGGCGGAGCTGGACGTACCTGGGCCGGATCCACCGACAGGTACAGGTTCTGAACAAGCACATGGCCGGCGGCCGGGTCGGCAGGGTACTCGCAGCTCTCGTACCGGAAGTTGTCCTCTGCCGGCGAGCCGTTCACACCTGAGGGAAAGGCGGCGCCGACTGGGCTGACGTTCGGCACCATAGGGCAGCCACGTGGCTGGTGATGACAATCAATCAACACAGGATGGCCTGTTCAGTGGTCTGACCATATACATGCCTTGAAAGGGAAACTAATGCGGTAATGCTATCTGCATGTAGGGGTGCCTCATACTGTGTCCACATTTCAAATTGATATTTCAATATGATTGCATGCATCATAACTCACAGCCCTGCCACGGATCTTGGCAGATACTACACTGCTCATGCCCACTTCATAACACCAGCACCGCAAGATACAGCCAGGCACATCCACATGCTGCATCTTGTGGTCTACACTGCAAATTTGAGCAACATCAATTCTTAAATGTGTGTTTACTGCAGCAGTAAAGGTCTGTGCAATTCGTGAATCTCGAACAACTTAGCCACTGGAGAAGCAGATAATATTTCACATCAGAAATGTCATAATTTTTCTGAAGCTATTTCAAATTGGTAGTTCTAAAGCTTTGATTTACAGAGCACAGCCAACCTTAACAGAAGAGACTGAGAATTGCTGATACAAAGTTACCACACCCACCAAAGACAAAACAAAAATTGGATGACTTATTACTTAGCAGATCCAGCATTGAGGACGAATGGGTACAGCCAGGGAAATTATGAAAGTCAGCAGCATTGTATAGAGGTGATACTCTGCTACCTGTATGCTAAGAACAAACATGGAAAGTGCCTTAGGGGTAAAAAAATCTTGATGAAAGCCACTACTGAATTGAGAGAAGACTAACAAAGATGGGGTTTTCAGTGGCATCACACATTAACTACAGTTATTTTTTTACCACAAGAATGGGCATGACCATGACTTTATGACTGGCTGACCTCCAACTGACCATCATGGGATCACAACTCTTTTTCTAGGGAGGAAGGAACCAAGCATTTTCAATCCAGCATGCCACAGCGCCACAAACAATGATGCTGCCACCAAAGGGCCACTCAAGATTCATGGCACTGCTGACAACTTCACACCAAAGACCTATGCCTGTGGGCAATGCACAATGAAGGTGACAATTTATGTACCAGATCATTGCCTCACTATATTCTGAACATGTGGGTACCTTGGCCATCAATGATCAATTCACAATACCTTTACCTACCTGGGTGCTTAGCAAAGACCACCTGATAATTCATCAGCTTCATGGCTTGATACACCTGGCTAATAACAGCTGCAGGAAACCTGTGAGATAGATAAAGCAGATATTATAGGTCAGTACTATCAGTAAGGTAAACATGCAATTGTCAATGAGTAGGTGCTGCAGATAGAAACAAACCCTGCATGAGAACACAAAATAAGGAGTAAATCAGATCTAACAAAACTCAACATACTACAGGGTCAGTGTATCCTCCCTCCTCATGAAATGATGGCAGTTCACCACTTGTATATGTTTCAAAAGTGTTAAAATTGATCTCTTCTTTGAAATGCTTTTCACAGTCCCAGAGAAATTATGGGCAGTGGGTGTTAATGGAGGCTGGGCCCAATAAAATTTAGGTGAGGGTCTTACAATCTATTTTTGCGTCCCACTCAATGTTTTGTCTCCTAAGCATAAAAGCAATATGCAAGTTTATGAAAATAATAGCTTTGTATTAACTTTTACTCCATTCAGACCCTAACACATGGTACATCACCAATTCCATCTAAGACTCTGAACACCCCATTCTTAGTCACTTTTGATTTTGACTGCAGGATATGTTGCTTATTTGCATGACCAATTTCAGTGGAGCTTATTCTAGGTGCAGCAGATGAGTTAGTAAGTTGTGGCTTTCAGGTGCCTGAACTGCACCCATCATACAGAGCCCATCCAAATGATCATAGGATGCTTCTAAGGTTTACATGCATCTAAATTTGATGTCTTTAAGGCTAATAGTTAACACAGCCTTAAAACAGGTTTAGTTTGCCTCATATTTAGGCTGCAAGAAATGTTTCTGCTATTATGTAAAAATTCAAATATATCCTTACTTCCAGTATTTTTGTTTAGCCTATGTTCACCTCCAACCAGCTCAAGGTATGAAATAAACTGCTTCTGGCTTAACCCATGCAAAATTTGATTGCTGTTGGCTTAATTTCAACTGGGAATTGATGAGATGGCTGGGGCAGGCCCTCCACCACATATACAGTGGAACTGCATCAATGCTCAGTGTGGTTCTCTGCTCGCCAATACCATCAGTCTGGGACCAAGCACACCAATGGCATGAGGCCTTCGGATACAGAGGTTAGAGGTCCATGAGTGAGGAAGCAGCCTGAACTCTACAACAAATTGACATCTCTATTGCATAATCAATGTTTAAATCAAGTCAACATAAAATAGGAATTGACTTAGTTGCATGCTCTCAATAATGGAGACCCAAGTGCACCACAGTTATCCCTGTTCCCCTAATATTTTGAGCCCATATCACACAGCAAGGTACATCGTCTGCTGGCATTTTAACATAAGCTGGCCTTCTTGCAGCACATAAATCCTACCATATACAGATAATTCATATATCTACCCTAAAACCATATCTGGCAGTTCTGGCACTCAGACTAGCTCCTGCCAACCTACTTGAATCCTGTCGCTCGAGCTCCAAAAAATCAGAGTAAGCGCCGACGCATCCCCATTCCCATCCCCACCCAACGGGCAAACACAGCTCAAGTCGACCTCGAATCATGCACGCAGAACTCGTCTTTGGAATGCATTTCGATATCTGAAAGTAAACCACTGTTTTCACTTTCCCTTGGGTAAAATGAATGCTAAGTTAGATAAAATGGTCTATTTTGGAGCCCACTTTTTGGGATAAAAGTGACATATATTTTTTTAGTTTTAACCTTTACATATGACAGAAAATATTTTTACTTTTACAATAGGGAATTAATGCTCAGCACTCATTTGCTGTAGATAAAACATATTCACTGCAAATTTTCCCGTTACAAGAAAGGAATCTGGCAGCAAAACAAGGCGATGGGAAATTCCCGACGACCTTTGTGGCAAATTGCGCGTAACCCATTTTACCCACGACGATAATATTGACCCAGTCCGGCCATTGGGAATAGGCGAGTGTAATAAAGAAGAAAAGGGGTGGGCCGTTCCGCGAATTCTGCTATCGGTGGTGTTCCTGTCGCAAAGGCGCAAACGAGTGCGCTACGCCAAGAATGTCCGTACCGGGCTGGTGGTGACCCATCAATGTCCGCACGCTTTCTTCAGTTTTTTTTTGGCAGCTGAAACATATAAGCGTATCTGTGAAGAAAAGCTGAAGCAAGTCTTGAGGTAAGTGTAATATTGGGCCCGCTTAAAGTGATGCGTAACTGGCCACTTAGTTCATAGACTGCTCAATGCAATGCACATTGGCTGCTTCCTAACCATAGGTGTGACCAGGTGGGCTTTAGCTCCACTGTGTGCTGGTCTGTTATCCGTGCTGAGACCTCTTCAAAAGTACTCGGTTCAAGCTGGCTCCTGAGGAGGGAGGAGTTCCTCCCAGTGTGTATTTTTGTAGGGTCTTCCCTGTGGATGCTGCATGGAAAGAAATTTGGCAATATAGAAACACAAATGTGTTGTTTTCCCAGCTTCTGACATACCTTACCTTACCTTGCAGTGATCAGGAATTATAAAAGGCCACTTAGCCTGCTGGTCCCAGTCTCATCAAGCTCTTGGTGTGGTAACCAAACAGTCAAAGTCTGGGTAGATTTAGTGCAAAATATCACACATGGTGTGACATTGCTTGTGCTAAAAGTAAATCAGGATGGTGTTGCCTATGAGACATTCTAGGCAACAAGTTTGTCCCCTGCTCTGGGTAGAAGTGGCATTAATGTGCTGAATCTTCTGGTGTTGTCTTCATGTCTTGTCATGGTCCTGATCCCACACATACTGTATGCCTATGTAGATATACATGTCATACTATATTGATCACATGGACCTATAGGTCATAATTTCTTTGTGGTCTGCTTTGCATTGCCCATTTATCATGAATTGCTCATGGGTAGCCTTTGACTCTATAGACCACTTTGGAGGATGTGCCAGTGTGTGTGTTGCTCATTTTGGTGAATGGATGATTTAGCACATGCTTCTGAATAATTATATAATTTTGTGCTGATATTGAAAAAGTGTTAAAGCCTGGTAAGTTGGGAATATCACATTTGTTTTGACTGGCATTGTTCCCAGATTTCCACCCAGTTTCCCTTTGAACATGATCTGTGCTTGGTGTTGCTTGTGATGCCCCCAAATCCTGTGTTATCTAGTGCTTATTCCGCTACCCAAATTTGGAGCTTTTTGTAGGTGGATGCAAATGGAAAGATACATACTCAAGGAATCCTCATGAGGATCAGGATTTCTCCCAGCCATTGAGCAAACAAGCCTGTGTATTTATGATAGCAAGGAATAATCTAGTTAAGAACAGGTTTTGAAAGCATGCAGTATGTTAGAAATGTGGGCATGGTCTGAACACCAGCTTTCAAAATGAATAATAGTGAGCATCAGCTGCCTTAGATACATCACAGCAGCTAAAAATATGATTATTGGCCCCAATGAAATGAGGAGGTAGGGTTAGTTGAATTAAAATGGGGTCTGTGTTATCAACTTCATAAACTGCATGCAACCCTAGTTGGGACATCATTTGCTGTGCTCTTTCTGTTATATGATTGGTCTTGTCAGCATTGATTTGTGTCAAAAATACCCTGTCAAGCAAGATAACACGCCACCCCTTGAAATATGTGGTGCAGAGTGAATCCCAACCCTCCAAGTCTGGTGTTGTCTCATGGCCGGGAGGGCTCTACTTCCGGAGCGGAAGTGGACGTGACGTCACTGTTTCCGTGTGCCCCGCTGCTGCCCCCGAAAGCCGCGCCTTGCCGTTCGGAGATTGGTCAAAAGAGCCAAGCCATAGCTGCCAGCGGGTTGAAGTACCAATGAGTCATAAGTGTGGAGGAAATGTGTGAAGTGGTGTGCATGGAGCCATCAGTAATACAGCACCCGCATGAGCTAATCGTGAATGGCATCAGAGTGAGATATAACGCGATCCCGTCGATTGAGGGAGCATAATACGGTGTAATGCATCCCAAGCATGATTATAAGCGTCGTTCACAGTCAAAATTGCGGTCCATCATGCATCTGTATGCCTCAGCAACTTGCTCTAACATGTATCTATGGCGTTTCGCCTGCCATTTAAGAGTGACCTTTTCCTTTATTCGGTGCTTCCCAACTAGTGTTGAATATCTCTTCTGCTATCTGTTCTGCCACGCTCGCCGGAACTGTATATCTTTACCACTCTAGTCGTCTTTTCCGCCTGCCCGTGGCCGACGTCGATCCTGCTCGGCTGCTGTTGGCTTGGCGACTAGATGTTTTTCGGTGGCGGCTCGTCCCTGTGGTTTGGCGTGCCGCGCCAGTGCTCGTGGGAAGTTGGTAGGGATCAGTTGGCTACTGGTCCGGGCCGCTGCCCCGTTCCCAGTGCTCGCTCCGTCTCCGTATCGTCGCCCACGTTGATTTTCGTTTAGTTCACATTAGCGTGCCGTTTTTCATCAGCTTCCTTCCGGTGGTAATGTATCTCTACTCGTTGAAGTCAAGTCTAATCCTCTTTACATTTTGTAAACAACAGTAGCAATGCATATTAAGGTGGTGCAGTTTTTGGCCCATTACATATACTCCTCCCTGACCTGCGAGTTGCCTCAGACCAAACTGCGATGTCCTTTCAGAGCTCCAACCCATCTGTGTGTGCCAGACGTTGACGTGGGACATCTGTTTTCTCCTCAGTTCGGTGCTTATCCATAGCGAGAGCTCTCAACAAGAGGAGTTTGGGCGTTGTCCCAGATTTGACATGGGGCCTTGCTCAGGTAATTAAATGTGTGTCTACGGAGAATGAGTGTGCTCTGTTAGGTGGTTGCGGCCACGTTGATGTCTGTTGGTAATATTTGTGGCCATATTAATGTCCGTTGGCAATATTTGTGATCACAATTGGGAGCTGTTCTATCCGATTGGCTGTGAACCCGTTATAATTCGCATGCGTAGCGGCTCTCTGATCTGAGGCTGGTTGCAAAGGAAAATGAACGTAGCTGTCTTGCCAAACTGCCTTCCGTGTCATAGTTCGATGCAAATTGTCACCAGCGTCGCAGACTTATGGCTCCTTTTAGGCACAACTTTGACATCAGGGAACGTGTTAACAGAATTTAGTAAATTTTCTGTGACCTTGCCGTTTTTGTGTTAATTCCTTTTTTCCGTCTGTCGCCCACCTGGTTTGGATTTCGAGTGGCAACGAATTGGACCAACGGCTTCTCATGTGTTGCGCTTGAGAGCTACCGCCGTCATGCGGTGCTTGACGCCGGTCGAGCATGGCTGGTTGGCTGCGAGAATGGCTGGTCCAGTCCATGCTTATTAAACCAGTTTATAAGTATGCGAGTGTCGTGGACTTATTCGACCAAAGCCAGACTGTCTCTGCTGCTGAATTATCCAGATAGAAGCAAGGCGGTGGCCTCTTGCGGTGTGGAACGGACACTTTCCGTACCAACGCCTGGTTCCTCTGGTAGATGAACAGACTGACTGGGAAGGCCGTAGCAAGCCTGGCTGCTGACGGCATGTTTGCGCGCTTCGGAAACCTGGTTGGCGGCATGTTTGGCTTAAAGGGAATGCTTCATATTTGAAGATGATGAAACAAGCATCAGATGTGACGAAACAGCTCACATATTGGCATGGTTGTAAGTGGAAAAGACTGCTCCAGACAACATAATTTCCGTTTTTAGTTAATCTGATCCTCAATAGGTCCTTGCTTGGTTGCGTCATTGAAACGGTTCCATGACAGCACTCACTTGTAGTTCCTCAATCTCCGAAGAAGTGGCCCGCGGCGGTGCTGGTTGTGTGCTGAACCAAATATAATTAGGTGTTTGGCTGCTTCTTGTGGTGTTCGTACTACCCGTGAGTGTAAGGCGCTTGTATTCACAGACCTGGTTACAGCGCTTTTCTTGATTGATTTGATCACATGTCTTACGTCCGTAATAGTTAGGACAAATGTCTAGCTTCTTGTACCATGCAGCACAAGACGTAATTCGTGTTAGAATCTGTCGTAGCTTGCACAACATTGGTTTAGAGCCGGTTGCCGACCGTTATATCTTGAAACTGTGCTCACGAACACCAGGTATGAACGACTCGACAATCATAATTTTTGTTCACCTTGAACGCCGCGTGGCCAGTGGAACAGCAGGATTTAAATAACGATATGATGGCGGCATGGACGCCTGGGAAGCCTCGGAGCAATCTGCTCAAGATAGTTGGCACATCTTCGCGGGCGTGCTGCTCAGAAACTAGGGGGATTTAGGTCTCAAGAAGGACGAGGCTATGACCTGCACCGAATGATCTTCGAGATGGCTATTACAGTTCGAAACCCCATACAAATTTGGAAGACTCCCTTTGAAGGAAGTGTTCCACATTTGTATGGGGTTGTGATCTGAAGCAGGCATTTTGAAGATCATTGAGTGCAGCTCACAGCCGCGCCCTTTGCGAGAGTTAAACCCCTCTGGTTTCTGAGAGACGCCCGCGATCTTGCGCGAACTATTTCGTGCAGCCTATTCCAGGATGACCCAGTCGTTCATGACGCGATAGAAACGTCACTCAAATACTGCCACCTTATTGGTCATGTGGTGCTCAAGACCAGAAAAAGTATGATCAAGTTGTGCGTGTCGGGCGTACGGCAACGCCATTGCTGACGATAGCATACTGTAATTGCCCCTCAACCAATGTAATGCGTGCCGTTTAAATCACGAACAGGGCTCATGTCTTGTGCTGCATGATGTGGAAAGGTGGATAATGGTACGAGCGTGGCGGAATGAAGTCTGGGAATCGAAAAACGTAGGATTAGCGCCATGGTTGAGTATGTAAATGCAAGAAACAACATTAAATTTCGGCCAAATACGCAAGAACACAGTGTGAAAAGACCAGAACAGCACACAACGGTATTTGGGGTCTTTAAACAATTCACTACACCTCTCGCCAAGTTGAAGTACCACAAGGGAGTCAACGCGTCTGCTACGGTTGCAATTTCGCGCGGCCAGTTTGGCAGACACTTCTATGTCGTATAAATGCTCCAGGACGCAGTCAGGTGACGTGTTGAGGAGCATATTCACTGAAAGTGAAAATTTGTCCTCTAGAGCAGTCCTTTGCATTTAAAAGCATCCATAGGTACAAGTGGACGTATTTCGTATCTGGTGCTAGCCTCTATACCTTCAAATGTGGAACATTTCCTTCAACCGCAAGGTGTGGGCTACAGACCTGCTACCAGTTATGTTCCTGTTTCCACGCTGTAATAACTTACGTTGTGTGTATTGGGAAACTGGACAAAGTGCTTACCAAAACGTGCTTTTCTGACGCCGGTTGGCCAGCTTCTGACCAGCTTCAATCGCGTGATGGATACTGACGACGGCAGGGCAGCCTGACCGGTCGGAGGAGCTGTCCAATTAAGGGTGCAGTTATGGTGTAACCTTCCAGCGGGCACGCGCAAGTGGTTTGTTGGTGTTGTGCAATGTTTGCAAGAGGGAGATCGCCGCATGGTCGCGACCGCATGATGGCAATCCACCACAATCGGAAGATTTGTGGGAACATGTAGGATTGTGGTGTGCCGATAGCGTGATGGTTAACGGTAACTGCATTAACCACCGCGCGTCTGGAAAATCAGAGGTGCAGGGTTCGATTCCCCGCGGTGTCCGTCCTTCCTGCCAGGGTGAGAGGCGGGCGACACCATATAGCCTCGGCAGCTGGGTGCGTCGTGGGCCCCAATCAGAACAACACATACAGGGCTGTGGAAAGCCCAGCTGATGCAGCACGGCAGTCGCACTGTCTACAGCCCGGCTCGTGCGGCACCCGACCCATGTCCGCCAGGCCGCACGGCCCGGGCACGACTTTCCGGCGAACAGCTCGCCGCCCGTGGCAGAGGCCACGTGGCTTGTAGGCGCGCAATGAGACCACGTGGCCGTGGCCGCGGTTTCGGGCGCCACTTTGTAGCCGGCAGCTCGCGCCTCCTAGCCGGCAGCTCGCGCCTTGTAGCCGACAGCTCGCGGCTTGTAGTCAGCAGCTTGCGCCTTGTAGCCGGCAGCTCGCGCCTTCTGGCCGGCAGCTCGCGGCTTGTAGCCAGCAGCTCGCGCCTTCTAGCCGGCAGCTCGCGGATTGTAGTCGGCAGCTCGCGCCTTGTAGCCGGCAGCTTGCGCCTTGTAGCCGGCAGCTTGCGCCTTGTAGCCGGCAGCTCGCGCCTTGTAGCCGGCAGCTCCCGCCTTGTAGCCGGCAGCTCGCGCCTTCTAGCCGGCAGCTCGGCACAGCCAGCGGAATGCCGATGTAATGCCACCTGGTCAGGAGACGCGCGGCCGTGATCGTACATCCGCCTGACGGCCGTAGTCGGCTTTACTTCAACGGTTCGTGTCGGGTATGTTGATTTCCTGTCGGTACTGGCACGCCACCTTCTTTTTTGTAGTTTCGTTACGTAAGCTTACATGAGCTCTAACCGTGTGGAATGCGCTTGCCTCCTGTTCGCGGTTGGGAGTTGCGCACCATCCAGACGTAATAGGAGGGCATGCACGACAGCGGGACGACACATAGAACAACATCTCGTGTTGTCACGTGCATTCAACATATATCAACATAGTGATGCTATGATTTCATTTACGCTAGTGTTAACACAATGCATTTGGAAATGGCTTTTAATCATGTATTGCACAGAACAACACACGTCAGGACGGATTTGAAAGTGGGATCGATTCGTAGTCATAGGATCGGTCATACTCATGAAAATGGTAATAGTAAACACGATGTTCAGTAGCTCGCTTAGCTCGTCGCACTATGGCTGCCATATATTTTCCTAAAATGCAACGAAACTGTGTTACATTTTTTTAGGTTCGTACACATGTTTTATCTTGCGGATTTTCCGTTATTTTTCCTGGGCGCGAAATGTCAAGAGTTGTATTAAAAGCGTGCCGTTGAACTGGCAGGTTCGTCGTACAGCTAACGGCTGCCTTCAGAAGATGGCAGACTGGCATTGTCGTGCTTGTGCCTTGACCGTGGGCGGGGCGGGTCGAGCTGTGACGGTGCTAAGTCGGAATCAGGCCGACTGTGCTGTTGGCAGAGGGTCAGCTATGTGCGCGCTGAGCTGGGGCGGTGGGTGACCCGCCCCCATCGGAGTGTCCCGCATCGGGCTCTGGTCAGCGTGACCCGGCGGATGGACCGGGCGGGGCAGATGCGCGGTGACCGGTGTCCGCGAGGTGACCTGCCCTCGATCGGCGCACGGGGCAGCTGCCAGCGGTGCGCCCGGCTGCGCGTGGTGCGCGGTCACGAGCCGCCGCCCTCACGCGGCGGCACGACAGCGAAGGTCGCACTCGAGGTCGCCGAGGCGCCCGCCGGCTCGTACAGTTGGGCCGCCGAGCCGCTCGCCTGTGGATGAGGAACTGATGTCGGGGTGCACTGCCCCGGGTTTGGTCCAAAGTACTACCTCGCGACCCGGTGTGTCGAGAAACCCAGCGCCGGCAGCTGTCTGCGCGCTGTCCATCGAGAGGCCCGAATGAGTCAGCGTTCAGAGGACCAAATGAGTCAGGGTCGAGAAGACCGAGTTTGCCAGGATGCTGATATGATGCAAATTATGAGAGCGGTACGTGAGATTTTGGACTGGAGGGGACGGCGTCGAAATCTTGCCGTGCGTGGAAGAAAATTATGAGCACATGCGATCGTTTCTTTGAGTTTTCCGCGCACATTAGACTGGTATCTCGAAATTGACCACTCCAGCGAGGTGACGTGAAGTCATCGCTACGGGCCGTCATCACTGGCCCTATCTTATCAGCGGGCGACATCTGCGCTTACGACGCGTTTTCCGGTGACATCAGAACGCCCGCGTGCCACGATAGCTCTCACCGCTCTCCCGGTCCTCGGGCGAGCGCTGCTCGGAAGTCCATCACGTCCCGTGCGCGGTGCGCGGACTCGCGGCCTCTCGCGTCGCGGGCAAGCGCCGCCCGGCGGCGCGCCCTCGCCTCGGCCGCCGCCTTCGGCCCGTCCGGTAAACCCCGGCCGGTAGTGGCGTCACGGCGGCGCCGGCGCCGGGCCGCCAGTGCGCGATGGGCCCCGACTTTGGCAGACGCGCGGCGCAGGGTCTCGGGCGGCGGCGGTGCGACCACGGCGGCGGACCCCGCGAGAAGGCGCAGGGACTGTAGGCGACGAACCGCCGTGTAAAGCGGTGAGTGCGCTGAACTGGTGGCGCGTCACGGGAAAGACCGGTGACTGCACGCGGTCGGTGCGCGACGACTGCTGCGACAGCACTGCAGTGCGACTAACCTCGGTGTATGTGTATGTGTCTGTGTGTGGGGTGTGTGCGTGCGAGTGTTGTGTGCCCGCCGTCCCGACGTTTGACGTCAGCGTATTTTGGGACCGGGTAAAGTTGCCGGCCTGGGGTCGTGTGGCCGCTCTGTCCGGCGAGGCATCGGCCGTGTGTCTCGAGTGTGCGGTCTGCTCCGCGGGTGGAGGTCACTGCCGTGTCTGCCGGGTGTCCGACAGCCGTGCCCACGTGTGTGCTTGTCTGCTGTCCTGGTGCGCTCGACGGTCTGATCCGGCGGCGAGTGCCACGGCAGACCGGCGAGCGGCACTGCTGGCCTGAGCTCCCGTCCGCCGGTCGGGCCGGCCGTAAACAAACCGCGCCCGTTGCAGCCAACCCCGACGACATGGAGCTGGCGATGCCGCACGCGGCGGGCGGCGGCCTGCCCGCGCCGCGGCCGGCGCCAGCCGCCTTTCCCGTCATCGACTTCGATATCGAGGCGTTCCTGGGCGTCGTGCAGCCGAACGAGCGCCAGCAGGTGGACAGCCTGCTGCAGGCGCCGCCGGCGTGGGTGCCGCCGCCGGCGGCGGCCGCGCTGCCGCGGGAGTCGGGCCAGACAGTGCAGCTGGACGGCCTAGCGCTGCGCAAGGCGCGGCGCATCCTGGCGCTGCTGCCCCGCTTCAGCGACGCCGCCCTGCCGCCCGGCGTCACGCGAACCAGGGCCTTCCAGGCGCTCTTCACCTACGTGGTGGCGCAGCGGCGCAGCCGGCTGGATGGGGACATGTGAGCGAACGCTGCGCCGCCGGCGCGCCGCTCGCCGGTGGCGCTCTCCCCCGCGGGGTCAGCCGCTGCGCCGTGCGCGCGGCGGGTCGTGGCCCTGTTGTTTCAGTACGCATGTGGTTGTTGCCGGTCATCCGCTGTGAAATCTCGATGCCAGTTTAGGCGGGAAGTCCCCGTGGTGCGAATGGTAGCGATAGTCGCTCGGTGGCGAGAGACATGTGAGGGTCAGCAGGGTCAGCGGGAAATCGCAGGTCGACCAGTTGGCATTCGTTCAGTTTATGTCGGCGTCAGTTTCTCATGATTTATGTAATGTCTGCCCTGGGTTCTGGCACACTTGTTTTTGTTTACGGACTGGCTCGGTCCTCAAGCAGTCCCTCGGCCGCGTCACGTGACCACGTGCACATGCATCGCTGCAGACCGCGGCGACGTCACGCCGGCGCGGGCTCGGTTCGTCGCGTCGTGCTGACATTCGCTGTCCCCCGCGCAGACTGATCCACAAGATGGCGAGGCAGGGCAATGTCAGCGAACTGATCCGGTACGCCGAGCTCATGATCCACTTCCGCCACGGCACCCACGTCAACACCAAGAACCGACATGGAGAGGTGAGGCGCCGCGCGCGCCGCCACCGCGCAATGCTGGCCGGGTGGAGCTGCGCGCGCCGCCGCCGCCCAGTGCTGGCCGGGTACGGCTGCGGAATCGTCGCAGCACCGGTAGCCGGGTTGGTGAAGGGCCAGCCGTATACCCGCCACAGTGGCAGACTGTTTGAATGCGGCCGAGCGATAACGCTGCATAACGTAGGCGATCGCTCGGTACTGCCCGCGGAAAACCTGGGGCAGGAAAAAGCGCGCCTTTTATCTGGAGTGACGCATTAATTGGAGTGATAAGATCGTTATCATTGCAACAATGTATGCCTAACTGGGCCGCTGTCCCTGAAATTATTCTTGCAAAAGGTTTGATCAATTTTCTGTCCGAAGATATATTCAGAGACAGTGTACAGAATATCGTCAAGGGCGGGTAAGATTTCCAGGCTAATGGGGTACGCTTTGTTGCAATCGGGAGGCAAAACTTCAGAGCATTGCTTAAGTGTCATGCTGCTAAAAAGACTAAAAATGGGTCGCAGTGTACAACCCTTGAAAGATTCTAACTTCTGGCTTATCTGGCGCTTATCACTTATGTCAAATACTACTTCGTTGGTAATGTTCTCTAACAGCGCCATGCTTATAGTCTCATCGGCTTAATTTCAGACATTGTTCGCGCAATGGGTTCTTGTCGAGGCGTGACTTCAGTTTCTTGCAGCGGTGTGACCACGGCAAACCCCTCTTTCACTTTGCACGCGAATTGCACGACGCAGCTACTGGTAGGCGCGGGAAAAAACCTTTCGCATATGTATGCGATTTTACGTTGACGTCACAGGCGTCGGCCTATTGGAAATAGTGTGGCGTACATACAAAAAGAACGGGACAAGTTGAAAACTTCAACTTGTCAAACAGAAAACAACGCTCGGCATAGCATACAAACCTCAGTGTATGCAATGTTAAGTGAGCGTATGTGCGTGTATCGCATTTATATGTGTCAGCCCCATGTATATATATATATATATATATATATATATATATATATATATATATATATATATATATATATATATATATATATATGTGTGTGTGTGTATCAGCCTGTCGTCATGCAGCGGATTTTTCTAGAGTAATGGTTCAGGGATGCCTTGTACGTCTCTGGGTCCTAGCCCGGCCCGGCGCGCTTGGTACGGTACGGCCCGGGGGGAGGCCGAGGTCACCTCCCCTCCGTCGCAGCGGAGTCCGCACTGGTGCTGCCAGTTATCGGTCGGCTCGAGTGCCAGATGGCGTCCGGAGTCGCGCGGTTCGGGCACTGTTGGCGCTTCGAAGTGCTCCGACCGGAAGGGTGACGACACCTCGGGTCTTCACCGCCGGGCGCAGTTGCCGTGGCGCCCCCACCAGCGCTGTGCGGGGTGCGATGCGCGGTCACGTTGCGGTTACGCGCCAACAGTGGCGCGGCATTACGCCACGTCGCGAAATATCGGCCCGGTGTCAGGTTCGAACCCGTGGCTGGATGCATCGGCGCGGATGAACGTCGTGTCAACGTGACTACGCCGTCCGCACGGCAACAGCCCTTCGCAAAGAGGGGTTTTCTCCTCATTGGAATGGGGCTTTAGCCGTGACTGAATGGTCCGTATTCCAGAATGTTCTGTGGATGTTGGGGTTTGGGGAGGGGTTTGGTCTCGAGCAGCCCTGTTTGTCGCTGGCTAGGCAATGTGAGGCGACCGTCTTTTTGGCGGGGTGATGCCCTGCTCTGGAACTACTTCATAAAAATACTCCCGTTGTAAGTTTTTGAGGGCTACGCGAGAGCACATCATGCAAATGAATCTTTCCTTGAATTGTCTTCAACCAGCTCGGGTAAAAGCCCACACTTTCGCGGCTGAATGGCGTCCTTTCAAGGACGGTCTGGGTGTGGCGACGGCTTCTGTCGCTGGACACCAATGGCTGCCCCATCTGTGGGCTGTATGAGTCAGAATAGTGACATTAATCTCGACGACGGCATTCGTCGAGATTAGCTATTCGCCGGAAGCTATTAGCGCAGTATGACCCGATAGACTGGGGGTGACGTGCTTGAGATATGTGACGTCGTGTGCGTTGCGCCGGTGTTGAAGTGTCAGGAAGATTTATATGTGTGTGAACGCCGCGCAGTGCATTGCATACCCAGCTTTATGCGATACGCTGCACCGTAAAACCCCGGCGAGTCTTTGTTTCCTTTGGATAGCTGCTTTTTGGCCATGTGGCGCGTTTCTGAGCCAAACTGTAGGACCTGTGTTTGGAACCAGCCTTGCACGCCAGTCAATCCGTGCATGCCACTGGCGACATCTGTGGAACCAGTGAAACGCGGAGACGGTGCAGCAAACCATCGTCGAGGCGGCCGAACCAGCGCGATAGGTCGCTTGCGCTGCGGGGCCAGCCGATTCCGGTTTGTTTGGTCTTCTCTGGCTGACAGCGTCCGGTTTACGGAGCAGGCGTGCTGCTGCGGGGCGCATCTGACCCAGTCCGCCGCGCGTGACACTGTTCTCGGCGCCGCCCGACCACTGCCTCCCTGGGGCTGCCTGTGACCGCGCCCCTGAGGCTGCCTGTGACCTTGTCCCTGAGGAGCCTGGCTGTGACGGCCCGCTCGGCCCTCCCCAGACGCCGCTGCACGTGGTCACGTGCCCGAAGGCGGCCGATGCGCTGCTGCAGCGTGGCGCCCGACTGGACGCGCGCGACTCGCTCGGCAACACGCCCCTCCACCTGGCGGCCCGCTTCCAGCGCGTGGACGTGCTGCAGACGCTACTGCAGCGGATGGGCGACGACGTCAACCTGCTGGACCAGAAGAACCTGGAGGGTGAGGAGAGGCGGGCGGACGGCCGGTCGGCGCTGGCCCTGGCTGGGGACGGACGGCTGAGGCGTTACGACCCGCAGGAAGGGTAGAGGTTTGTGGCGATGATGGCGGGACGGGGAGGGGTCTACACATACCTAGCGACGGGCCTGTCGTGGTGGAGGCAAGGTTTGAATGCGTGGCGTTTATTTCGACGGGCGCTGTGTCTTGGCCATGTGGCCGGCGGCTGTGTGCAGATGCCCGGCCCGCCACCGGGTCCGCGGTGACCCGCTACGCCCGCCGGCAGGGTACACGGCGCTCCACCTGGTGGTGATCCACCAGCCGCAGCAGGAGCCGCACCGGCGCGCGCTGCAGCTGCTGATCGAGTCGCGTGTCGACGTCAACGTGGCGGTAAGTCCGGCGCGGCCTGGTTTGTCCCGGCCGCGCCGCCGTGCTCGCCGCCGGCGGCGTGGCCTGTCGGGCAGGACGCTGCGGCGGCCAGCTCGGGGCAGACCGTGGGCGCTGTTCACGGAACGGACAGTGCTGTGCAAATGACGTCGGTGGGGCGCGTCAACGGAAAAATACCAGCCGTGGTTGACGTTGTTGGTGTCTTGTGGCCTAATTTGTGACCCTTCATATACACCGCAGTCAGTCCCGGCATGCGGCCTCGAGCCTGGTGATACGCTCAGAAGGTGGTCTCTGTTTGATGACTTCACACCGCCTCGCCGGGTGTTGGCCACTTCGCCAGGTGTTCGCCGGGCGTCCTTTCGCTGTGTGTGCTGCGCAGTCAGCCTTTAACGGTCTGGCAGCCCGCCGCCATTCTGCGACGTGTCCTTGTTCGTCCAGCAGACAGGCATCCGGTATCGCTTCACTCCATGTGTAGTGGACCAGGATTTGCCCTCGATCGTCCTGTGTCATTTATAAAATCACTCCCGACAGTGCGATACGATCATCGGGTGTCATCCTACCCCGCGCGATCGCGTGTTCAGCGGTATACTGCGCAGCACCTGCAGCGGTGTGTTGTCTTGCCCCGTGCGTGCCATAGCGTGCCATACATGGCTACCCGGCCTTCATGAGCTGTTTTGAAGGGAGTGTGCCACATTTGTATGGGGTTGGAGCTGAAATAGCCGTCTTGAAGATCATTCGTTGTAGTTCACAGCCCTAGCCTTCTCAAGACCTCAACCCCTCGAGGCTCTGAGCCACACGCCTGCGAAGGTGTGCATAATTTTTCGGGAAGGCTATTTCAAGATCACCAAGGCATCCATGACGACATAATAACGCCATTCAAATCCTATCATTCCATTTGCCATGCGGCGATCGAGGCCAAGAAAAATGCAGTTGTCGAGTCGTTCATATCTGGCATTCGTGAGCACGTTGTCCAGATACAATGACCGTCAATTGGCTCTCGATTGGTGTTGTGCAAGGTACGATGATGTAATCAAATAATGACGTATCGAGGGGCATATTTACTAAACAGAGATTGCATTATCTAAATCCGCCTTTTCCACTCAAAAGTATACCATCAGTTATAAGCTAGCGTATTTCGTCACATCTGATGGCTGCTTCAATATCTTGAAACGTGACACATTCCCTTTAACCTTGCGAAACGGTGTGCGCTGGGCGGTGCTGCGCGGTGATGACGTGTCGTCTGACCCGGTGCGCGGTACCAACAGTATACCAACAAAAGTATACCAACAGTTATGAATTAGCGTATCTCATCACATCTGATGGCTGCTTCAATATCTTGAAACGTGACACATTCCCTTTAACCTTGCGAAACGGTGTGCGCTGGGCGGTGCTGCGCGGTGATGACGTGTCGTCTGACCCGGCGCGCGGTCACTTGCTGCGCAGGACGACACGGGCGGCCGATCGCCTCTGTTCCACGCCGTGCTGCGCGGCGACGAGCCGACAGTGCGCGAGCTGGTCGAGGCCAACGCCGCCGTCAACATGGCCGACTTCTCGGAGACGACGCCGCTGCAGGTGGGCGGCCGCCGGTCTTTGTCTCGAGCGCCTGACGCGGTGCTGCGCCGGCTGCGGGCGCGGCGCCCGGCGCGACATCTGCCGTGAGGCGGGCAAGACGTGGTGTTCGATCGCACGACAGGTGGCAGCACCGCGGGCAAGCTGGCCCGTGGTGCAGTCGGGTTCCTGTGGTTTAACCGGTTGTACGACTCTGAAATAATGTTCACGGTCGTTTGGCGCCTCGCCGATCGAGTACCTCGCACGATCGACATGCGCTCCACGAACGTGCTCCGCTTGTCTTCGAAGTGCACTCCTTCGCACTGTGGTTCGATCCGCGCCTGCTGAATGGCGTCGCGTCCGTGCGCCCGCGACGCTTCTAGCCCCGGCTGATCTCCGCCCGTGCCGCGTCTGACCCCGGCTGACATGCTCCCGTGCCCTGTCTGACCCCCGGCTGACCTCCGCCCCCTCCGCAGGCGGCCGAGGGACCTGCTGCCTGCCAACAGCAGCCTCATCTGCAGCATCCTGATGGAGCGGGGCGGCTTCAAGGTGCCGCCGGCCGACCGCGTCACTCAGTCCGGCGGCACCCCGCGCGCCCGGCGCGCCCCCAAGCGCCAGAGGCTACACTGAGCCGGCGCGGCCGGCTCCGGCCCCGGCGGGACCGGACGCGCCGGGCCCGCGGGGGGGAGGGGGAGTCGCTCGACCTCCGGGGAGGAGATGGACGTGCGGTGTGCCGAGGCGCGTGAAAAGTGAAGCCACGTTCGTGTAATCCCGGCTCGGCCGCAGTTGTGTGCGGGTGCTCGTAATCTGGGAGAGGCTGGGAGTGATGTGCGGGATGGGCGCTTTGGGCGCCGTGTGGCGAGAAGTCTGGAGAAAGACGGTGGCCAATGTTAAATCCGCTACCGATGGCGGTGGACTGAAGCTCGTGCTATTCCTGATGTAGCGCCTTACAGCGGGGCTTTTCTGTCTAAACGTGATATTTTCGCGGATTGTGCTTATTTCGGAGGCAGTGATGTCAGTTTATCGGCTGGCATGGCTGCTGTTAAAGGGGATGTTTCACCTCAGAAGACATTGAGGCAAGCATGAGATGTCATGAAACAAGCTCGCTTTCAACTAATCATTTTCAGTTTAAATGGAAAACACTGCTCCAGCCAACACACTTCTCTGTTTAGTAAATATGCCCCTCAATGCGTCATGGCTTGATTACGTCATAGCACCTCGCACAACATTGATTGACGGTCAGTTAACGGCCGTTATATCTGGAATCGCGCCCACGAACGCCAGATATGGACGCCTCTACAACCAAATTTGTATTGGCTCTGATCGCGGCATGGCCTCTTGAATGACATAATTTGAATGACGTTATTATGAAGTCATGAATGTCAACTTGGCATCCAAATACTCAACCATCTTCGCGGGCGTGTAGCTTAGACACGAGAGGGGCTTGGGTTTTAAGAAAGGCAGGATTGTGGACAGCATCGAAAGATCTTCAAGATGGCCATTAAGTTCAAAGCCCCACATAAACGCGGAGCACCCCGTTTAACGTTTGGTGGCGATGTCATGGTCACTATTCTGCCTCTGATCGTGTCGAACGTGATTGCCGTATCTGGGCATGGGAGCCTCCACAGTCCATACCTCTGTAGTAGTCGCCGGCCAAAACATCTTGGGCTGCCGCTGTCCTTGGGTACTAATGGTCGTCATTAAACTGCATGATTATTTTCGTGTCCCCTTACAGAGATGAAGCTCGTCAAGCTCTTCCTGACGTCCTGCCCTTTCCATCAATCAGCCAACACTTTCCAGTGGCCTTTGCACTGCATTCTGTTCCGGTAGGCGGACAACGGCATGCGTGCGAAACTGCCCCTTTCAACTGGCTTCTGCCACAGCGGGGTATGGACACCGCTTGGTGTGCCATCTCGGCACCGAACTGCACTATATTGCTTTGTTTTGTTTCTCAATCCCGCACCATTTTAGTCCTGTAGTCCCTTGCTTGGCTCGTCGTCGTCATTGAGTCATAGCGATGCGCTCAGCTGCTGAGGCCACATGGCATCACCTGCCTCTCACCCTGGTAGGAACGGCGGACACTCGTGCTTGGCTCCGTAATGCCTGCGATGCCGATGTATTATTTTCGAGCGGTCAGCGATCATTGTTCTTCAAAATGCTGCTTCATGTTCTCTGTAATATGTGGTGGACAAGAAGATGGAGTGCAGCCATACCAGTAGTGCTGTACATGGTACCAGTGTAGTTCTGATCCGCGGCGAGTGTCATCAAATTGTGCGATTCCAATGCATTCGACGATCGCCCGCTGTTGTCGATATATTGCTGCAGTTCGTCCCTGTTTGTGATTGGCTGGGCCTTCAAAGAGCGGCGGTATCAAGCGGCCAGCACTCCACGGCACAAGCTCCACTCCACATCATTCCATGGCGCAGGCTCCACTCCACATCATTCCATGGCGCAGGCTCCACTCCAAAGCACTCCATGGCACAGGCTTCACTCCACGGCACTCTACGGTTCAATCTCCGCTCCACAGCACACCACGGCACAAGCCCCACTCCACAGCACTCCACAGCACGAGTCCCGCTCCACAGCACCCCGCGGCACAAGCCCCACTCCACAGCACCCCACGGCACAGACTCCATTCCACAGCACTCCACGCCACAGGCCCCACTCCACAGTACCCCATGGCACAGACTCCACTCCACAGCACTCCACGCCACAGGCTCTACTCCACAGCACTCCACGGCACAGGCTCAACTCTACAGCACTCCACGGCACAGGCTCCACTCCACAGCACTCGAGGAACACTCACTCCGCTGCCGCCGGGCTGGTCAATTTGTCGCTGCAGGCCAGACACCGCATTTCAATGGTTAGTGGTACAACGTGGCTGATAAGCCTCCAGGCCCATTGCGCCGTGGCACAGGCTCCACTCCACAGCACTCCACCAAGCCCCATTGCGTGAGGTGGTGTGCGTTTTGCGCGCCACGCGCCAGCGTGGGCCTTCACACCGGCGTTTCAAGACGGTGCCGTGTCGCGGCCGCCTGATCGGTGCAGCGTGGATGGCGACAGCCACCGAACTGGCGCGGGCTCTGGGCGAGGCGAGCCTGCACACTGAGCCATATGGCGTGCGGCTCTGAACAAGAACAACCAGCGGTGAGTGGAATGTTGCTGGCGGTTCGGGCGCGCTAGGTTCATTGGCTTACGAACGTTGCTCGATAAATGCACGGTGCTCAAAACTGGAAGATCCCAGATTGCCGTTAAGATCCGGGCCACCTTATGATGAAAATAAGCCGGCTATCTAAGCCAGCTATCCCCTTTCTCCTATGTTATTCCTTGGCTAGGTCGGTTGCAGGAAACTGGTTTTCGGGCGGACGACGGCCAGCCGCCCCGGCACCAAGGCGATTAGCCGGCTGGCCAGTGTGGTGACCAGCTGATGGCTACTGATTGACGCCCGTCCGGGTGGGGGTCAAATAAAGCCTCCGGAAATTGTCTCAGCACAATTGGGAACCGCGCGGCGTAGCCGTTCGGTGAAGGTTTGGCACGGCTTCTCCGCGTCAAACTTGTCACAGCTGTAGAAGATTGAATAATGGATCTTTTGACAAAAATCAGATGTACCTTGTAAGGTCGCCGACCTAAGCCAGGTCAGTCAGTCGGCCATGGCCTTCAGCGGAGCGCATTTCTAGGGAATCGTTCAATGTGATGGAACAACGGAGTGTTGGACGAAGCCATACTGATTTCATATAACTTTCTAGGCAGTAAACCAATTTAGTTTAGAATTACAACCAATCTTATTGACCTAGGATCGGGTATATGAGGTTCAGAACGAGGTCAAGACTAACCTTTTTACTCGAGAGCTTGGTTGTAAGGGGTAGTTTCTAGTGCTGATTTTGAATTTATCAATGACAGCGACCACAGCAGACATCTTCCATAGACTTTAAAGGTCAGAGTAGGCCGCTGACCTAAAATGACCCAGGTCAACGATTTGTTTTTAGGAACCCGCCGCTAAGTGCAATCTTTCACGCTGATTCGAACAACAAAACAGGGGCAATCTCTTGGGCACTTGGTCACCTTGATCTTATAAAGGCCAAGCAAGGTCACTGACCCCACCTATTGCTTAGAACAGATATCTAGCTCCACAGTGGTTGCATGAGGAGTTCTGGGGGCACTCAAGACACCAATCTGGAATTTGATCTTGTTTAACCTTATTTGACCACAAGGTTGCAACCTAGGCACCTCAAATTGTGACACAAGAGATTTCACGTACAGTTTACTCTATCCTGGGAATTTTGTGTCTCTAGCTATCTTAGTTTTCGAGATCTTAGGGGGGGGCTGGATTGCCCCTCCCCGCCCGATCAAAGGGTATTCAACCGGCCGCCAGGTTGCGTGTTGATACAGGATCCCAGAATGGGTTTTACTTTTGGGTGTCAAGAGCAAGATTTTTCCTATTATCCTTTCAGACTGAAGTGAAATGCAAGGTGCATCACCATCTTTTAAAACTCAATGACTATAAATTGATGCGGAGATCACAAGACAAACTGACTGATCAAAACCTTGAAAAATTTCTGTATCAGATGGGGGTTTTGAAGTAATTTTTGTGTTAATAATTGGTATTAAAACACACGAGTGCGTTTCCGGCATCCTTTTATTCCGTCGACCGCCGGCACTGCCACCCAGTGCTCGAAGGCCCGGCGGTAGCAAGTGATTCACAATGGTCCTGTATCCTGTTTAAGATACTTTAATCGTGCACGGCGGGTGCGACTAAGTGCACGCGATGCCATTGTAGGAGCGCTATACGTCGGTGATACAAATCGTTCTTCGGTCCACATGACCTCTTTTGTTCAGCTCACGCCTGGACGGCGCATTGACCACTGTGGCCGGCCCTCCCACATTGAAATGGCGAGAATACGGCTTCCAGAAAAATACTTATTATCAGACGCTAAGAGTGCGGCTATATGCAGAAGATAGCGGTGCTGTGAGGCCGTCACCTGTGCGCACAGCGCACTGGTCAGCCCAGGGCATCCATTTTATTCGGTCGTCATCCCCACCCCCTACCTTGATATTGGCTTGCTCAAAGCTGTCGTGCCAGCAGCAGCGGCCGTTTGCAAAGTTACGGCGTTCATGTGAAATACTGGAGCCGTGCGTGACGGGTGCTGCCATGCGCACACCATGCCCTTGTGGGAGCAGCAGCGGCCGGAAATGTAAATCGCTGGTCGGCGAGAAGACCCTTCCGTTCAAATCATCCCTTGCCTGTGAATTGATAGCTGTGCCCGGTCCGCT